TGGTAAAGATTCATGGATATAATACACCAAAAACAGTGTCGGGTACCCAGTAAGGGCTCAATACATATGTAACAGCTATTAAGATGTTTTCTATGAAGGACTGAATTGTGTTGAGAGAAGGAAGTGCCTCGGCTTAGCTAGTTAGTAGCAGAGCCAGAATTAGATGTCCGTTCTTCTCGGTTTTAATTCAACACTCTTTTCTTTCATTGCACCGCGTTTGAAAACAATGCATTCTTGTTTTCTTGTTTGTATTATTAGCATTTCCACCTGCAAGTCCTAGCATGCTTATCTCAGTGCAGACATACTCCCACCGTGGTTTCCTGTGGGAAAAACAATTTGGATCTATTTCTTTCCCTCCCTAATTAATATGTCACATTTAGAGTGAGCACACTGCTCACTTTGAAAAGGCAAGACTTTTTCATTTTCAGGTCTTCAGCCTCTGACACCGCAGCCTGACTTTTAACAGTATGAAATTACCTATGACCATAGGATTTAATAAGGATTCTGATTGTTTTTGTGTCTGTAGAGAAAATAACATTTATTTTGATGAAAATGTTATCTTTTCCTTTTTTCATCTAATAAATCATTCTTATGGCCCAAGAGTTTCTGTTGTTCTTTATGATTCATTGATCAACAATGAAAGAACAAACAAATCAAATGACAGACCGGTCTCCCAGAATGCAGTCTCCCAAAGACTAAGACATGGCGGCTTCCTCAGGGATTCTGTAATCCAGCTCCTTCCTCTTTACAGATGAGAAATTAAGGTGAGAAAGGTGAAGTGACGTTTTTTACAAAGTCATCCAGCTGGTTGGTGGTAAAGAGGGATTTTGAACCCATTTCTTTTCTGACTTTGAATGGATTTCTAAAAAGTCTTCCTGTATTATTAGGCAGGCCAATCCAGGTTGACACTTGTTTTTCCAAAGAAAGTTTTATTGATACACAGTCATGTTCATTAATTTCCTTGTTGTCTATGGTTGTGTTCTCACTACAGTGGCAGAGGTGAGTTCTTACAACAGAGACCCCATGGCTGCAAAGCCTGAAATATTTATTATCCGGCAATTCACAGAAAAAGTTTGCCAATCCCTGGTGTGTATCAAGCCTGGTTGAAATACGATTTTTCCGCCTTGTTTTTGTTCTTTTTGTTAAGAGTTAGAGAAAGTGAGGTTGGGCAGGGAACAATGAGAAAAGAAGAAGAAAGAGCTGCCTTAGCCAGTTTGGCTCAGTGGATAGAGCGTCAGCCTGTGGACTTAAGGGTCCTGTGTTCGATTCCAGTGAAGGGCACATGCCAGGGTTGTGGGCTCAATCCCCAATAGGGGGCATGCAGGAGGCAGCCAATTAATGATTCTCTTTCATCATTGATGTTTCTATCTCTCCCTTCTTCTCTGAAATCAATAAAAATATATTTAAAAAAAATAATTGACACCCTAACCGGTTTGGCTCAGTGGATAGAGCATCAGCCTGCGGACTCAAGGGTCCCAGGTTCGATTCCGGCCAAGGGCATGTACCTTGGTTGCGGGCACATCCCCCGTAGAGAGTGTGCAGGAGGCAGCTGATCGATGTTTCTCTCTCATCAATGTTTCTAACTCTCTATCCCTCTCCCTTCCTCTCTGTAAAAAATCAATAAAATATTAAAAAAAAATTGACTTTGAAGGTCTTTGTCACTATTACTGACTTTGGGTGGGAAAGTTAGTTCTTACTCCCTTAGGATGAGATATGTTTATTTTTTTCTCTCTCAGGTGAATTAAAACAAAAATACTTAATGTGTGAAGATACCAACATATTCCATATTATAATTAGGATTGATTAGGTTCTAACAGAGAAAACAGCAGGTATAAAATCTAAAAAAAAAGGAAAGACAAGGTTTAACATCTTGAGTAGAATACTAAAAGAGATCTATTACTATGACGGCATTTGGAACGACTGGATCTTACTGTCAGAGAGAAGCACAACTAGAACAAATATGGAGTCTCGAGGGCATCAGAATGACACCTGGAAGACCCTGACAAAATACAGCCACCGCGTGGGGATCCATGAGATGAGAAATAGTGGCTTAGACTTTAATGCAATATCCTTTTCTAAGCCGTTACAATTAGAGGTGAAAAGGGAGCTCTATTTAATTACCTTGGGCAGTATCTTTCTGCCTCCATAAGATTAACAAAGCACATTTCACAATAGATGTCTCAAGAAATTTAACTTAACCATTCATTTAAATCTGAAGTGGATAAGCTGCAATTAAATAAGCATTTTATCTCCCAAGTTAGACTGGTCCTAATAAGCGAGTCTACATCTTGTTTTCAAGATCAAAATTGCCTCTTGTGACAGCACCTCCTTGCTGCTCATCCTTCCGATGGGGCAAGCACTTCGGCACAAGGGCAGGCTGGCCTAACGTAAGGACAGCAGGACAGAAGTCTCCAGAAGTCTCGTGAACCCTTCCAAGGCACAGTTAGAAACAAGAGAGATTATGCTACATCAGAACAGTGGTTATAATTTAAAGGAAATTAAAACCCCTTTACCAACCCCTCTAGTGCCCCCTCATAGGGAAGAGGTGTAACCTGGGCATTCGTAGTAGGCAGAGAGCCTGGCCATGGTTCCATAAAGGCATGGCCTGCCCAGAGCTTTTGGAATTTACCAAAAGCTACTATATGTTGTCATTTACTGTCTGAGCATCTATCTGTCTTCCTGACTAGATTGGAAACATGCCAAAGGCAGGGACCGTGGTTGAGCATATGGGTATCACCAGCACCTTCTCTGTGCCCCGTTCAAATGTTCGCTGTCAATGTTGGTGATGTTGTTCGGTAGGTAAGTTAGTTAATTCGTAGAATTTACGAAGGCAAAAGCATCCAGTTTCCTCACAAAGTTGAGCAGTTGATTCTTTGTCTCAGTTAATGTGGGGAAGGTCCCTCCTCTCTAGGAGGAATAAATACAACATGAGAACAAAAATCCATACAGTGTGTCCGTTTATTAATATGTACATTTGTTTGTTTAGAAAACACAATAAAACATCAGAATATTTGAATAAGCCAAAAATGTTAATGCATATTCACCTTCTCTGATCCTGTTTTGGTTCAAAGTTATGCCAATGACTCAGCATTTACCAGAGTCTGGGCTGTAGGGCTGGTCCTGAGAGATGACAATAGTTATTCCTGGGAAACCTGTTTCATGGCTCAGTAATTGGGGGAAATCCTCAGTGAAACAGGTTAAAATAAAGCCCTTAAAGTTTCTGAATTACGCCAACATGCTTTATGAATCGTCAAGGTTAGAAGGCAGATGGTATGGATTTAGGAACATCACGCAACTCCTTTTATGGAACAACTAAGGGACTAGTGTCCTGAGGAACACACTTTGGAAAATGCTGAGTCAGACACATTTCTAGTGTAGGCTCCTCCTGTTAGAGAAATTTGAAGACCTAAATCGAAAGACCTGCAGTTCTGTACAACTTCCTGGGATGTTGGTTCTCCATCTGGCTGGCCCGTTAGAATCCCCAGGAGCTTTAAGCATGACCGTGCCCAGGCCCTGCCCCAGGCCAGCTCAGTCAGGGTCTCTGAGGGCGAGATTTCTGATCTATTAAACAGGGTTGTCGTGAAACCTAAATGAGATCATTGTGTCAAATGCCTACTCAGGGACCTGAAACAAAGTTTGGTCTTAAATATAGAGATAGAGATAGAGATAGAGATAGAGATAGAGATAGAGATAGAGACAGAGATAGAGATAGAGATAGAGATAGAGATAGATAGATATAGATATAGATATAATCTGGGGATAGTGTCAAATTCCAATTAAGAAATGTTGAAGACACAAAAAAAGAAAATCATAATTTGGCCGTCGTGGTTTTGCATCTCTGGATGCCAAAGTCAGAGTGGAAAGGTATGATGAGAAACAGGATGTTTGCATGGCCTTAAAGTATTTCCCCACCATATACTGATTGGATGAGACTAAGGAACCACGACAACTAAATGCGATGTGTGAGCCTGGATTGAATTAAGGACCAGAAGGGATATTAGTGGGACAGTTGGTAAAAAATTCAATAAAGTCTATACATCATACATTTTTCAATGTTATTTACTTGGTTTTGATCATTGTATCATGGTTATAAGATGTTAATATTTGGGGATGATGGGTGAAGGATAAATGGAACTCTACTATTTTGTGAGTCTGAAAATTTTTCAGAATGAAAATTACAAAGAAAAAATTTAATGTTTCTTTATTTCTTCTCCATTCTGGGACTTTAGAGATACTCAACTCAGTATTCCAGGAGGTTTTTCTCCTTCCTAGGTATTTAGAGTAGAGGGGAAATGGGCCCCTGTACCACAGAGTATTTATTGAGTACAGTGAAAAAGAGGCCCAATGTGAATTTTAACATTTTATATGATTTTGGTAAATGTGGTCCCCAAATAAATGTGGCTAGAGGACTTGGTAGAAGAGGAAAACAAACAAACAAAAAAACAGGAAAGGAGGCAGTAAGTGCAGAGGTGGTGATGAGAAGCAGTGAGGAGCTGCTGAAGATGGGTTGGGAAACAGTCCTTGAATAAGGGGGCAGCGGGGAGAGAGACAGTTGTGGGGGTAGGGAATAGCTATGAATGCTAATGAGAAGGGCTGAGTAGAGACAGAAAAGATGAAAGAGATGTTACTGGCATTATATATGTATGTTCTCCTTAGCATTTGCTTGTGAGCCTGCAGTAGAGATGTTGATTATTTTGTTTGTTTTTTTTTCTTTGAATATTACTCTATGCTGAGATTTATCCTCAAAGGGATTAGAAAAAACATGACCTAACGGTCCTAACCATTTACCTGGTAGACCTATGGCCCTTATGAAGAAAGGTAGTTTGCCCCCCAAACCCAGACCCTTGAGGGACCAGGCCATATAGATCTCTGATGCTGGGCGTGAGCAGTGACCACAGTCAGGGACCCAAGAGCTGGGGAAGTGTGGCCTCGGCCTACCGTGGGGGCCTCTCATGGATTGCATTCACCTGCAGCATCCACTTGTTTCTTTCTAATCACTTTCAGGACCGGAAGCCAGAAATGAATCTGAAGAGACAAAAAGGTGGATGAATGAGCACTAGAGTCGCTTCAAGTGCCTCTGACATAAACTCCTCATCGTGGGGCTCCTGGTGTCAGGAAAAATTGCAGAAGACCTTGACATGGCCAGGAAAGCTTATCCTTGTGGGTTTCCTGCATCTTTCATCATCTGTGAGCTTTTTCCTCTTGTGTACATTGTAGATCACTGATAGCAACAATGCAAATAACTGATTCTTGCCCTGGACCTGCAAATACATCTTATCTTGCAGAGTACAATTGGTCCTCCCATCGCCCTTGGGGAAGAAATCAGTTTCGCATCTCTGAAGCAAATCCCATTTTGGTATTCCTGATGGCCTGTATATGTGTGTGCTTTGAATTGGTTGGAATTTTTTTACTGTTTCCTCTTTAATTAACAACTTAAAAAAAATCTTTGACAAGTGCTTATTTTATATGTATATGAACGTCATTATGTTACCATATATGCATAACATACATGTATATCATATATATATATATATTAATTCTGGAGGATGAGCAAATTTTTTGGAGTTTACCAAGCTGTAGTAGATATTTCCCTCTATGTTATTTATTTTTCCTTGACCTAGTAAAGTAACATCTTGTTAGGCATTGTTCTTTAATAACCAAGCTGTAGTAGATATTCCCCTCTATGTTATTTATTTTTCCTTGACCCTTGACCTAGTAAAGTAACATCTTGTTAGGCATTGTTCTTTAATAGCTATTACAAAGGGCCATCCCAATAGTCTCTCTACAGTATGACTAAACATACTCACTTGAAATCAGTGTTTTGAGGACATCTTGTAGAATCCTCTAGACCAGCATTTAAAAATTACAAAACTAGGAGCCTTAGCCATGTGTATCTGTTAATTTCTCTCCCCCAGATCCCCCTCTTCCTCTGGTGTCCCATCTATTGTTGAGAATATAACCCTAATGTGAAGTTGAAGAGTGCTTTGAAATTCCATTTTGCCCTTCAAACTCAAAATGTCCTTCCTTACAGGTATACCCTCATCTTGGCCTTACCTTTGTAAAGTACAGACTCAGCTTCCTTTTTTCTTCTCCTACTGGCTGCTTTGATCTTTTCTTCAGTAGCTTTGCATGCAGGTACTGGATGCGCTCCCTCTGCACGCTTGGGTAGAAGGATGCTGACACCAGGATTTTAAGTTGCATCAGGAAGGAGGACAACAGTCCTAGCACCACTAGTATCACAAGAATAATACTGAGAGGAACCCAGGTTTTAGACAGAAGGAGCTTTGGTTTAGGAATGCAGTTGGGTTCAAACAGAGATACATTAAAGGGGGAGTCATGGATGATGTTTTGAGTTCCTTGCTCCTGAAAGGAAAGAATAAAATCATCAAGATCCATGCCATTTCATACTCATTCCTTGTCTTTCTCGCTGCTGCCCTGAAACACATATCATTTGTCTTAAAATAGGAAGCTTTGGCAGAAGGAGCTGCCATGGTTCCTTTTGTGTGCTGGCATTGGAGAAAGGTGAAGGGGTGGGCTTTATCTGTAGCTACTGCAGCGTTTTCCAAAGTGGGTTTGTGGAAATATAGGTTTCCTTGAAAGAGGGTATTAAATAAGTTAGACTGCTTGTCCCTTCTTTGGAGCGTCACGATGCCCATAAGACTGTTGAAGGCTCTGAGCAGAAGGTGGAGAAATCTGTTTAACTTCAGCCAGCAGTTATCCTAACATAGGTGATCGCATAACCGTTTCTATGGAGCACCTGTGTCTACACCTAGGGGCATGTGGGACTAACAAAAGATGGTTTTAGCTCTGCTGGGGGTGAAGGTTTTTGGAGTGTAGCCCCTTAAGACCCAGTCCTACCCTCCCCATGAGACCACAAAGTCGCAAAGCTGCAGAGGCATTAAATGATGTCCTAAGTGAACATTCCAGAGCTTGGGGGTAGGGGAGCTTATTCTTAGTGTAATAATACCAAGAATAGGTTTTACTGAAAGTGGCTCTAAAACCCTATTTTTAGAGGTCTCAAAATAGGACGTTTTCTTATTTCTTGGATGCTCAGGAGGGGTGCATGCCTTCCTGCTTGAAGGCCAGAGAACGAATCAGTTACCTTCTGCAAAATGACACGAGGGCAGGAGATGACATTGAGTGACCCAGCCAAGCCACCCGCAGGAGACGCGGGCGCTGATTCAGCGCTTCCTTTTCTCTGACCCGAGAAAGTCATTTAATCTCTCGGTGGATTTGTTTTCTAATTTGGTGAAACGGGAATTAATGGACCAGATCCTGTCCGTGAATAAACTACTCCCAGTGTAAACTAAGCACCTTCGGGAGGGAGCATTAACCGAACAGACTGAAGTACTTAGTCAGTGATTATCACCCCTGCACCCCAGAGTCCTGGGGCCAGGAAGAGGGAAATGACTTCTCAGAAAGAGCCCCACCACGCCCAGAGAACACCAGGCCCCTTGACCTACTCTAATACTTGGGTAGAAGCTGGAAATCCCAAACCAGGGACCTCCATACAAATGTGAAGTGAAATCAGTAATTTCCCCAGCGCTGTGGCTAAGCAATGAAAGGTATTTGTGTTGCCTCTCCCTTTCTCTTATTAAGATAGTTTGCCTACAATTAAATGGAGAGATTTCAATCTCCAGAGCAAAGGCATGCACTCTTTTTTAAAGCTATTGAAGAAACAAGCACATCGATTGAGTCCGTGATGAGAAATCCTGCAATAAGAAAGCAGCGGGTGTTCGCTCTGGGGAGAAGTTATTTCGTCTAGGAATCTAAGCGGAGGCTTTGCAGTTGGGAGTCAGAGCTTCATAAAGATTGAGTCAACGTTTTTGCACAGGGTTGGTGGAGGGTAATATGGAAGACAAATGAACTCTCTCAAAATCCTGAGCAATAGACTAAATGGTACCCCAATGCTTTAAAATGTGTTTACCTCTCTTAAGTAAACAATTTGCCAAGACAGCACTGAGTAATGGACAGAACCTACTTTGGCATCAGATAGTCCTGAAAAGTTCATCTAGACCAGAGGTTCTCAACCTGTGGGTCGCGACCCCTTTGGTGGTCTAACGACCCTTTCACAGGGGTCACCTAAGACCATCCTGCATATCAGATATTTACATTACGATTCATAACAGTAGCAACATTACAGTTATGAAGTAGCAACGAAAATAATTTTATGGTTGGGTCACAACATGAGGAACTGTATTTAAAGGGCCAGAAGGTTGAGAACCACTGGCTTAGACAAATGCTACGCACATAGTAGGTGCTCAATGAGCAGCAACTATGGCTATTTTTTCTTACAATGCACACCCATCCAGCTAGCTCAGTTCAGGTCATTTCCCATCCTCCTTCTTTCTCCTCCCCCCTCCCCCCATGTTTCTTCTTTAAAATTGTATGAAAGTGGGAGAGACATATTAGCAAAACCTTGAGCTGATATCTCTCTTCCTGCTTGACTTCTCCTTTGCAAACCTGAGGCAATGGGGGGACCAGGAGCCTCCAAGGGCTTCCTGGGGTAAGGGCAGGGCACTGCCAGTCTCAGGAAGGTGCTAGCAGCATAGTGTCCCAGGCACCACAGGAGAAGGTCTGTGGGCAGCAGCCTCGTCCTCACATCTGGTCCAGCGCCCATGTCCTGCTGCCACTGTGAGTGGACCTGGTGGCCTTCCCCACCGGGACCTGAGCCCCTCCATGGCAGACATCAGGGTCTAGAAATCTGCATCCCCAGGACCCAACACCCAAGAATGTATTTGTGAGGACATTGTCCTTGGAAAGCTTCTGGGCCATTTTTCAAAGGTAGAACTTGGATATGTCCCCACCCCCAACCCCACCCCCTTCTGTCTAAAATAGTGAGAATTCACAAAACAGGCAAGGGTGTTGACTGAGAGAGAAATAAATGAGAGATAAGGAAAAAGATAAAGGGGGAGAGGGAGAACTGAGAGGAGTGGCTCAGTGGTTGAATGTCGACCTATGAACCAGGAGGACACGGTTCGATCCCAGGTCAGGGGACATGCCCGGGTTGTGAACTCAGTCCCTGGTTGGGGGCGTGCAAGAGGCAGCCAATCCATGATTCTCATCATTGATGTTTCTATCTCTCTCTCCCTCTCCCTTCCTCTCTGAAATCAATAAAAATATTTTTAAAAAATATAAAGAGAAACAGGAAGCAAACGGAAGGGGAAGGGAGGGCAGAGGCTCTGACTAGCCACCCCCAGAACCAAGCCTGTCTGAAAAGCTCCATTATCCACTCTGCTGCAGATATCGGGAGCAGCAGGTTCTCGTAATTAACTCGATTCTTCAGGGGATGCAGCGTGTTCAGAGTAATCAACTTTGAGAAGCAGCCCAGGTGTGGAGGGGCAGGAGCCTGGACGGCCCTGCTGAGCCGGAAGTAAAGGGGCGGGAAAGTGTGGGTGCAGAAGGAGGATCCCAGCCCAGAGAGAGATATGGAAAGTGGGGCTTCAAAGAAGGGTTTGCGGGCGACCCCCCCTAAGATTTCCCTAGCACCCAGCACATGTGGAAGCAGCTGTTTGGGCTAGTGCACTCCGCCCCAGCGTGAATCTCCTCTCTCTCTCTCTCTCTCTCTCTCTCTCTCTCTCTCTCTCTCTCTCACACACACACACACACACACACACACGCTACGCAAGCACATGAACACACACGCACACAATAGACATGTGCATGTCCCACCTAGCTCAACTTCACAATCTCTGGGTTATAGAAAAGTAAGACAAGTGTCTGACAACATGCAGATCCTCTGAAATGACTCCACTGAGAAACCTGTGTTTCAATGTGCGGCCTATGGACCACCTACTTTAAAATCCACATGAAGTGCTTATTAAAAGTGCTCCCTTGTTTAAAACTGAATCTCTGTCAACTGAGGCCTAAGGCGCTACATTCACCCCAGGAAATTCTTCTGTTGTTGTTGTTAATCCTCTCCCCCAGGATATTTTTCCATTGATTTTTAGAGTGGAAGGGAGGGGGAGAGACAGAGAGAGAGAAACATCGATGTGAGAGAGACACATCCATTGGTTGCCTCTCACACATGCCCCGACTGGGGCCGGGGATTGAGCCTGCAACCCAGGCGTGCACCCTTGGGTGCAATCGAACCCAGGACCCTTCAGACCGAGGGCCGATGTTCTGTCCACTGAGCCAAACTGGCTGGGGCACTCCAGGAAATTCTTTTTTTAAAATGTATTTTTTATTTTTGATAATATTACAGATCCCAGGAAATTCTTAACACACTCAAGGTTGAAGCCACTGGCCTAAGCTGCCTAAAAAAGAAAAGTGTAGGAGGTTCCTTTTGTTTGTTTGTTTTTCTAGACACTAGCAGCAGCTGTATTTCTGGTTAGCGGCCCTTTTTCAATGACCTTCCTCTTTAAAAAAAAAAAAATTTTATTGATTTTTTTACAGAGAGGAAGGGAAAGGGATAGAGAGTTAGAAACATCGATGAGAGAGAAACATCGACCAGCTGCCTCCTGCACACTCCCTACTGGGGATGTGCCCACAACTTGGTACATGCCCTTGACCGGAATCGAACCTGGGACCTTTCAGTCCGAAGGCCGACGCTCTATCCACTGAACCAAACTGGTTAGGGCTGACCTTTCTCTTAAACACGACACTGATGCATTAGGATCCCTCCTATGATTGAGAAGGACTCAGGCTGCCAAGAAAAGGCGGTCTCATTCAGAGAAGGCACACGCAGTCTGCGTGCACAGCGAGTCTGCGGAGAGAGGAAGGCAGGCCCTAAATCAGCTGTCCGGTTCATGCCAGGAATCAACTTCGTGTTTCACCAGAGACCCCTCTTCCCACATTTCAGTGTCTGCTGACTATCGGAGGCTGAAAATGGCCCCCCAACGAGCTAAGATTCTAATCCCCAAATCTGTAAATGTGGTTTATTTGGGGGAGGGGGAACTCTGCAGATGTGATCCCATTAAGGACCTTGAGATGGAGAAATGACGCTGGATTGTCCTGGTGACCCTCCTGCAATCACATGCATCCTTTGAGGAGGAGGCAGAGGGAGAGAAGGCGATGTGAAGACAGATGGAGTGATGCAGCCACAAGCCAAGGAATGCCAACGGCCACCAGAAACTGGAAGAAGCAAAGAGTGGAATCTCCCTTAGAAGCTGAAGGGCGTGTGCTCTGCCAAAGCAGCTGATTTCAGCCCGGGGCCGCTGATTTCAGACTTCTGGTCCCAGAAGTAGAAGAGAAGAAATCTGTGTTGTTTTAGCCACTCACTTAGTGGTGATTTGTTACAGCAGCCACAGGAAACTAACAGTGACCCAACATGTTCAGAATGATATACTCTAACACCAGGACTTCAATTTACCCAACATCCGATGGGCTCCTTCTCCGTGCGAGGCACTGTACCAGGCGCCGGAGACCCAGAGGTGGGGAGACACTGCCCTGCCTTGTGAGGTTCGTGACCATTTTCAAACGGCCCAGCAAAGAGCCGGGATACCCCCACCAGTGCCTGGGAGCGCCTACCTCCCTGTGCAGTTTCAAGTGAACCTCCAGCGATGGCAAGTTTTGAAAGTGTCTGCTCACTGAGAAAACGAGCCGATACAGCAGAAAGTCGACGGCTGCAAACAGCACCCAGAGGTAGAGATGGGTAAGTATCGGGAGGAAAAACAGCCCCAGGTTCTTCCTTTCTTTAGGCGTCAGTCCGAAAGACGGGATGACAACGTACTTCTTCCTTTCCTTCTTACTCAGTGGGAGGACGCAGGGCCTCTGTTGATGCCTCTCCCCCTCATCGAACCGAACAAATTGTCTGGTGATGTAGACGTTTTCAAACTTCCGGCCACAGGGGTCCAGAAACCGCTTCATGAAGAGGCCCGTGCCGAGAAGCACCAGCAAGAGCCCGGCGAGGGCCAGTAGCTGCCGTCCCAGGGAGGACAACACCTCGGCCGCCGTCACCATCTGGTACAAGACCCCCACCACTTGGCCTTTGGTGTCATTTAGCTGTGCCTCCAGGGCTTGGCTGGGACTGAAAAGAGAGACTGCCAGAGTCTGGTTCCAAGACACGAGGCCATCAAATAGATCCAGGTGAGTGGCAAGGCCGTAAATCCATTGGATGGCTTCAATGTACCTCTGCAAAAGTGGCAGGTGAACGGAAAAGCTCTTGGCCCTTATGTTGCAAGTCATGCTGTCCAGGAGCCCTCTAAAGTTGTGGAAGATATTTCCCACGTGTCCAAAGATGACGATCCCCGTGCCGGCGGCAATCAGGGCGTTCCTGCCTTCACGCAGGCCACAGGAGAGGAAGAAGAGGGCCACAAAACACCTCCCGTGCTTGGAGCAGCACAGCAGAACCCAGGCAATCGCCCAGGAGATGGTGAAGACTAGGAACGAGGACAGGAACCAGGAGAAGGCCACCGAGAGGAGGCCCACCGAACTGAAAGCAACAAAAGAGCAAATTCCCAGATGTTGGAGGACGTCCACCCATCCAGGGCTTCTTGGAGACACATACATCCCCCAAAGACGTAGGAGGAGATGGGTGCCCGAGTTCCAGACCGCCATGCTCGCTGTGTCTCTGGAAATGAAAAAGAGACCGGGGTCAGATGTTGCTTTTGAACGTCCTCTGTCACCTTGTGAAGGGTATGGGGGTAAGGCCATAATCCTTTACCCTTCTTGGTCCCCGCACCCCTTGCAATGTGACTTTCCAGGTTCTCCCATCAAGAGATGAGAGAAATAGCCCAGTTGGCCTGGCTCAGTGGATAGAGCACTGACCTATGAACCAGGAGGTCACGGTTTGATTCCGGTCAGGGCACGTGCCCGGGTTGCGGGCTTGATTCCCAGTGTGGGCGTGCAGGAGGCAGCCAATCAATGATTCTCTCTCATCATTGATGTTTCTGTCTCTCTCTCCCTCCCTCTCCCTTCCTCTCTGAAATCAATTAAAAAATATATTTAAAAAAGAGGTAAGAGAAATAGAATCCATCAAAAAAAATGGTGGGCTGCCTCTTGCACATCTCCCACCGGGGATGTGCCCGCAACCCAGGTACATGCCCTTGGCCGGAATCGAACCCGGGACCTTTCAGTCCGCAGGCCGACGCTCTATCCACTGAGCCAAACCGGTTTTGGCATCATTGATGTTTCTGTCTCTGTCTCCCTCTCCTTTCCTCTCTGAAATCAATGAAAAAATATTTTTTAAAAAGAGGTAAGAGAAATAGAATCCATCAAGAAATGGTGGGCTCCATTTCTCCAACCTTTGAGCTTAGGATGCCTTGTGACATCGTTGGCCAATAGAATGTGAGGAAAGTGACCGTGTGCCAATCCTGAGCCCTGCCTTCCTCTTAGAACCCTGCTACTAACTTTTTGACAAGTCCAGGTGTGTTTGTCTATTGCTGTTATGGCAAGTTACCACCAACTTAGTGGCTTATAGAAACACATATTTATTCTCTTTCAGTTCTAGAGGTCAGAGGTCTAAACTGGGTTCAGAGGGCTCTAGGGCCGGATCCATTTCTTTGCCTTTTCCAGCTGGTAGGGGCTGCCTCCTTCCTTGGCTCATGGACTCTCCTCCATCTCAAAGCTGGCAATGCTGCATCTGCTTTATTCTGACCTCTGCTTCCCCCCTGGTATCTTCTCTCTTTGACTCTAATCCTCCTGCCTTCCTCTCATAAGGTTCCCTGTGATGATACTGGGCCCACCCAGATAACGCAGGAAAATCTCCCATCTCAAGATCCTTCACTTAAGCCAGTGGTTCTCAACCTTCCTAATGCCGCGACCCTTTAATACAGTTCCTCATGTTGTGGTGACCCCCAATTTCATTGTTACAAATTGAACATAATTAAAGCATAGTGATTAATCACAAAAACAATATGTAATTATATATGTGTTTTCCGATGGTCTTAGGCGACCCTGTGAAAGGGTCGTTCGACCGCCAAAGGGGTCGCGACCCACAGGTTGAGAACTGCTGACATAAGCACACATCTAGAGTCCCTTTGACCATGGAAGGTAACATTTTCACAGGTTCTGGGCATCCAGACACAGACATCCTTGGGGAGGGGCATTATTTAATGTGTCTTATACGGGTTGGGCTGTTGAATAATGAGGGACACATGACCAATCTATTGCATCAACTCAGCCAATAGGTAGCTAACTGCCAGACCACCCTAGACCAGCTAGTCCCCAGCCAGTCCTCCGGCTGATGACAGAAACGAATGCTTATTTATTTTAAGCCACTAAGTTCTGTGCTGCTGGATTAGCCAGTGCTTGTTACTTGATAAAAAGCAGCAATACTGTATCATGAGTCTTAAAGGTTGAAACAATGCCTAGGCCGATGGACCGGCTGAAATCAATAAGCTGCACTAAGTATGGTCGTTTTTTGATAGTCATCTGTTTTCTTGTTCTCTCATTTAACAGACCAGAAAGCATACCAAGGGCATCTTCAATGTGGGACTGGATTGAGGCCACTGTATCTCCGCCCTGTTCCGTTGGGTCCCCCCTCCTGCCCCTACCGCTGAGTGCAGTTCTCTCCCGAGACTCTTACAAGGGAAACGAGAATCTTTTGTCACTGAGTTAATTATCTTTTCTTTTCCCTGAGATCTGGCATAATTAAAATGAAGGTGCGATGGGGCTGCTACCACCCTGTCAATCATGCAGATTTAGGTCTGTGATGAACCTGGGCTGGCTTGGAACTATACAAAATCAATTAGAGATATTTCTTTCTTGATTGACATAAAATATCTAATGAGCATTAATGAGCATTATACCATATGTATGGGATTTGAATGAAGGCATTGATCAATTTTAAAACACTCTCAAATAAATAAATAAATAAATAAATAAATAAATAAATCTCACATGAGATAGGATGGGGCTGCATTTATGGAGAATCTCCATATGTCTGAGCCAGTGACTTACGCTCGGAGTGTGAGAGAGGCATCCAGGCATTGGCTAGAGGGCGTGAACTGAGCCCCCTGAGGTGAGGAAATGATTGCCCGTCTGGGTTCAGGCTAAATGGGGTTAATGGAGGGCAGAAACGAGATGGGGAAAGAGGCAGGTTAGAAACAAACCTGTGGCAATTTCTCCAGCCATGATCTAGAGGGCTTGCAGCTCCGGTCACGTAATCTGAATGGGAGTGCTCAGCACAGAAAGGTACGGGGAGAAATTACGTGTTGAAGGAAGGTCATTACCATGTGGAACTGGCCTTATCAGAGATTCAAGAGAATGATCGTACTTTATGGGGAGAAAAGGGAATTGGAACGGTCATTAAAATGAGGCCCAGCAAAGGCATGCAGTTCTTTTTTCTGGAAAGCTTGCTTCCATCCAGAATTGGGGTTGGTGTGAGGTTGGCAGTGTTCCCTGCACCCGTCCCCTCCCAGACCTCTCTGACCCTGAACTCGCTGATGGGCCCCTGTTCTCCTGGCTCTTTCCCAGCATCGCTGGTCCAAGTGAGACCTGCTTCACTGCGTGCATGCGCAGGAGGACCCCAGCAGTCAGCAGTGAGCAGGGCAGGGCTACCCACACCACAGCACGTCAGGAGGGGCTGCCTCTCCTCCTAAGTGTGTCCCTATTCTCTCTCTCTGTCCTGGCTTTGGATTGGACCCGAACCATGATTTGACTAACCGACACACTAATAGGTATCACTTGCCTCTTGTGTCCTGGCCACCTTACCTACAGCGTCTGCCTGCAGCCTCTGGAGACAGGTGCTCACACAGGGCCCCTGGGGCTGAGCGTGCTCATGCAATGTGTCAGCGCTCGCACAGAGAGTGGGCGGCCGCACGGGCTTCAGACCAGGTCTCTCTGACTCCTGGCCAGCTCCCTGTCGCCTGCATCATGCCCGGATTCCACGACTCGGTTACGTGACAGGATGCTCAGCTCACTGCGTACCTGCTGCAAACACATCCCACAACCGACCTGTGGTCGCAGCCCCACTTCCGTCTGCTCAGTGTTTTCTCTCTCATCAACATAGTTGGCCCTGTAAGGGTGTGTCTCAAATCAACAGCCTTTTCTCTAAAGCAAACCTGAAGTCCAGTCCCAGCCGTTTTATTTTTCTCTCTTTCCCCTTAGGAGGCGCCATTTTGCTTGCTTCCTAAAAAATTAATAATGCACATTTTAGATTCATTTTTTTCCTTCTTTTGTACAGTGTGTTCTTCATTCAGATATTTCTCTGAAGATAAGAAACAGATTCATGGACACGTTAAAATTTGAACACTCGGCAATAAACTCTAATACCACTTAAATAAGAGAGATGACTGCAGTTTTGTCCTGCAAGAGGAACATGTTTTCTTAACAAGCAACAGCGCTAATATCCTCCCCGTTGTGTCTGTGCTGAAAACAGCATGTCACCAAAAGACACCAACACGGATGTCTTGCGTGTCCCTTCAGATGCCTGCGGGCGGCTCCCTCTTGCTCCTGCGCAGGCGCAGTCACTGCTGCTTGTCATCTTTCTCCACATACCCCAGTTCTTCCCTCTTCTGCTAATCAGGGAATCAGGGTTTGGACAAGGTGGTTCTTTATTTCTTTCTCAACGGGACCAGCCCAGGGCAGCAGCTCCGGTACTCAGCTCTGTCCTCTTGCACTTTCTGCGACCAGGCTAATGTCCTAGGTCTGTGCTGTGCAATAGGTTGGGCACTAACCATGCATAAGGATTGAGAACTCGACACAGGGCTAGTGCAGCTGAGGAGGTGAGTTTTTAACTTTCTGTAGTTTTAATGAAATGTCATGTAAGCCGTCTCCTGTGGCTGATGACGGACGCCGGGCTGGCTGGTCTCCACGGGTGAGGAAGTGAAAGAGGCTAAGGGACTGGCCCAGCCGTTCCTGGTTTTGGGGGCAAGCTGGGAGTGAGCCCCTAGTTCTGCACCATCAGTGACACACTTCCCAACACACATGTCTCATGGCTGACTTTTCATGAAAATCCTGTTTAAAAATCCTTAACAGGGCTCCCGAGCTAAATGGAGCTCAATTTCCCACACAACAAATTTGCCTTCAGGTTCCACAAAATACATAAGTGGGGAAGTGAACAACCTATAGCCTGTGCCTCTGTACAAGAATTAGTTCAAGAGTCCTGATCATGGACAGTTAGCAAGTTGTTGACTGAGTGGCCACTGTTTTCACGTCTGAAACACATTATTGTTCATCTTCAGAAACTCTGGACTATATCTAAACATTGTAGATAAGGAAGGTGAGGCTCAGAGAGGTTCAGGAACTTGCCTAAGGTCACACAGTCTAAGGGGAAGAGCCAGGATTCTAACCCACGTTCAAGTGACACTGAAGGTTCAAGATCGGCAGCTTCTCAGACCCTCTTTAACATGAACTTCAAAGAGGAGCTTCCAAATTTGGTGGAAACACATTCCCAGAATCCCAGTCACACATGCATCCTGAAATGCGGATGCAGTGATGCCAGCAGGAGCTCTCCCCTCGCTGTCATCTGAATCCGGTGGCCTCCCCCTCCCCTGCCAGCACACTCCCTGAGCCCTCCAGCTGGCTGCGGGGCTCCCTCCCGGTGTCAGGCCCACCCTGGTCTGAGGTCCAGGCTGCAGAGCCTTCTTCCTAACCGAGCCATCTGTCCCAGGGTC